GGCTGGGGACCTGCCCCAGGGAGTAAGACCTGCCACCAGCCTGGTTTTTAAGTCCACTGGATGCCGCCAGCAGCCCCAGAAGCTTTCAGCCCTGCCGTTGGTGTCTGAAGCTTTTTCTAAGCGGAGACATTGGGGTGGCGAAGCCTTTGCTCATGGTGGGGATCTTCGCAGGGTGGGCGTCACGTAATTAACCTGTTTCGACGTGAGAAGGGCTGTGTCTGCCTGGCACCGGGTCTCCCTGCTTCAGACCCTGCTGGGCTGGAGCAAGGGGTGCAGGAGCCTGGCAGTGAGCTGAGCACCTTCCCCGTGCCCCATCAGGGAGCGGGGCTGGCTGGGGGAGTTGGGCTCTGCAGGGTCGGGAGGTGGACAGGAGCCTTGAGCCACCCAGGACACGGTATCTGTGACGTGTTGAAAGGGCTGACCCTTTGACGTGCACGCTGAGCCCTCCATGGCTATGTAGAGCCGGTTCTTCCCTACTTTCATCCATCCTCAAATGTGCCCTGCAAAAACCCCCGGGGCTGGAAGAAAAGTAATGATGTGCTCTTCTTCATCCTTGGAAGCTCTCCCAGGGCTGGGAGCAAGTCCTGAGGGTCCCACACCAGCACTGGGTCCCTGCATAAAGCGAGAGCTGGCTGCTGCCATGTGTTGGGTCTGCTGGTGCCTGATGCCTGGGTCCCTGCCTGAGAAAAGGAGAAGTGTGGGGGCTGGCTTTCTCCAAACTGACCTCACTCATCTCTCCTGGGGGGGTGCAGACACCCCTTCCCTCATCCCATGGGGTGAACCTCTCCCCTAGGAGAGTCCCAGATGTCCCAAGGAGGCTCCAAGCCAGCACCAGCATTGACGTGATGTTGAGTGATGCTCCTGGTGGCTTTGGAGATGTCAAGGGCCAGGAAACCTGGGGGTTGACTGGGATTCCCATTGCTTATGAGGGAATCCAGCAGTCTGGCCTCTCATGTCCTTCATAACCACTGGGCTCTACACCCCTCTAGCAGAAGACCAAGTGCCCTGTTGTAGCCCTCCTGTCAATGCAGATATTGTCCTTGGTGCAGATGGCTGCTCAGGGACGCAGCCTGGGCATGGGGAGGGGTGGTGGCAGCAGAGACGTGGGTGACCACTGAGGTGACGTTGTGTTTCAGGGAGCCCCTGACCCACCATGACGTTCAAGCAAGCGTCCATGATGGCCCCGGAAGCCATGGCCACCACAATGCCCATGGCCACAATGGAGAACTCCACTGAGGCCGCAGGGCCAGGCGAGAGCAAGGAGGACATGTTCACCAAGCTGAGGGACAAGTTCATGAATGAGCTCAACAAGATCCCCTGTGAGTAGCTGCCTCCTTTTCCAGGTAGCCCCTTCCTCATGACCCCACCACCACTCCAGTCCTGGTGCAGGACATGGGACGAGGCAGTGGGGTGGCTGGGGCCAGGAGGGAGCTGCGGGGCCGACCACGATACTGGCTTTTGCCCACAGTGCCACCCTGGGCCCTCATTGCCATTGCGGTGGTAGCCGGACTCCTCATCCTCACCTGCTGCTTCTGCATCTGCAAGAAGTGCTGCTGCAAGAAGAAGAAGAACAAGAAGGAGAAGGGCAAAGGCATGAAGAATGCCATGAACATGAAGGACATGAAGTCAGGGAACCAGGTGATGTTCTTCTGGACTGCTTGGCTGTGTCTTGGGCTTGGTTTTGTAGGATGATCCCTCCAGTTGAGTTACAAACTATGTCAGGGCACTCATAGCTCAGGCGGCAGAGGGGGATGGAGCCACCAGGATCCTGGGATGGGGAGCCTGGAGCTGAGACAGCAGCACTGTCCTCTTCCAGTGCCTGGTGGCCTCGATGGGACCAGGCTCAGGCTGCCCTGGACAGACTGATGCTTCACCTGAACCAGCAAATGTTAACTGAATCCCTTGGGTCTCTTTGCCTTCCTCTGAGCTGCTCTCTCATTCCTCTGTGCCTTTAGCTGAGAGGGGAGGACCACCAGGGCAAAACCCCCACCAATTTGGGGGTCCCCAGAAAGCCTCAGGAGGCAGGTGCTGGTGCATGGAGTGGAGCTGGGACCGTCTCCCCGTTATGGGGGGGGCCAGGAGGGGACCAGCAGGAAGAAGGCTTTGGTACCAGCGAGTTTGGGGCAATCTTGGCCATTTCAATTCATCAGCCCAACCCAGGGCCGTTTGGAGGGGGTGGGAGAGTTTTGGGTGTCCATTCCTGCTCTTTGGAGCCACGTGGGCACCATGGGCATGCAGGCAGGCTGGAGAGATGAGTGCGGAGTGGAGATGCTCCATCATACCTGTCCATCTGCATGCCCCCGCGGGGGGGGTGGGAGATGTGGGCTGATGGAGGGCGAGGGCTGCTGTCCCCTGAGGCTCGATGGGACTGTACAAACCCCAATTCCCCATCTCATCGTGGGTCCCTTGTCGATGCTCTCCATAACGTTTCTCTCTCTTCCCTCCGCTCTTGCCATCCTTCCTCCCTGCTGCCCCATCTGCGTGTTCCCTCTCCGTCCTGGGACACCCTCCACGGTAGGTGCCTCCCTTCTCCATCAGCCGCTTCCAGGGTGGGACGGGGGACCTAGGGACACGTCAGAGAGGTGATAAGGAGCCGGGGCTCGCACCCCAGGGACGGTGGCTTGGAGAAGCTTGGTGAGGGGTGGCTTTACCTTAGGAGAACTAGGTGATAGTTCTATGACTCAGCTAATAGAGCCTGGAAATGGCCCTGCTAAGCCCTTAGCACCCGCTGTAGCACTCCCCCAACCATGGCTTGGGGGTGAGACTGTCCCTGCACTCATCTGCAGTGGGTTGTTTGCATGCAGCCACCCCCCCTGCAAGCACCAAACCTCCCTCCTCTGGAGCTGCCCCATGTCCCAGCGCCCCGAGGCAGCCCCCAACGCCATCGTGGCTGGACCAGCACCCGGGGCTCCCTGGCAGAGCCGGTCCACCCCAGGGCTGCTCTGCTGGTGCTTTATGTCTCCAGCTCAGGGGTTCTCCTCGCCCCTCATCGGGACAACCCAGGGCTTGAGATGTTGGTAGGGTTAGGGTGCCAGAGGTCCCCGGGGGTGTGGGGATGGGGACACTGGGCTGTGACCCTGCTGCTGAGCCAGGCACCTCGGCTGCCATTGCAGGACCAACAGGATGATGATGATGCAGAGATGGGTCTGACGGAAGGGGAAGGTGAGGAGGAGGAGAAGGAGCCGGAGAACCTGGGAAAACTGCAGTTCTCACTGGACTACGATTTCCAGGCAAACCAGGTGATGGAGGGGCCGGGGCTTGGCTGAGGAGGTGGGCAATGGGGTTTGCCCAGGGAGGGTACTTGAGAGGTTGGACCTGGCTGGCATGGGAGAGAGGGAGAGCTGGGTGCTGTGCCATGGGGAGTCCTGCCCCACATTGGGCTGGAGACGAGCCCTTGGCATCTGCAGTGCGTAGCTAGGCCGTCTCACAGAAGACATCCCTCTCCCCTCTTCAGCTTACAGTGGGGATCCTCCAAGCTGCCGAACTGCCAGCTTTGGACATGGGTGGCACCTCAGACCCGTACGTCAAGGTATTCCTGCTCCCTGACAAGAAGAAAAAGTATGAGACCAAAGTGCAGAAGAAGACACTCAATCCTGCCTTCAACGAGACCTTCACCTTCAAGGTGAGCGCCTTCCTACCCACAACAGGAGACCTTGTCTCCCACTCCCATCTTTCCCCTGACTGTGTGCTGGTCCTGCGTTTTGACCCTCGCTGCTGGAAGCAGGTGGTCCTGGCTTGAGCTCCTCTGAGCTCATTGCCAGCCCGGTGGCCCTCTTTGCGCAGGTCCCCTACCAGGAACTGGGTGGGAAGACACTGGTGATGGCCATCTACGACTTCGATCGCTTCTCCAAGCATGACATCATTGGTGAGGTGAAGGTGCCCATGAACACAGTGGACCTGGGCCAGCCTATCGAGGAGTGGCGAGACCTACAGAGCGGCGAGAAGGAGGAGGTGAGAGAGGGCGCAAGGCCCTCGGTCAGCTGAAACCCTTGGCTGGGGGTGTTGAGATGCTCTGCTTTCTGGGCCATCCCACAGTGCTTGGGACAGCAAGTGCAGTGGGGTCCCACCTGGGTACCATGCACGTCCTGGCCATGAGCACTGGCAGGATCTGCCCCTGTTGTTCCCCTGTGGAAAAGCCTTTCTGTAAGAAAAATGAAGACTTGAATGTCTTGAGTGCTGCACTGGGGCTGGCCTGCCCCAGACCCAAGTCATCAAACCCTTGTGCTGGTCCATGGGGTGGCAGCTTGTGCCTGCATTGAAGATTGAGCAGGGTTTAGGGAGACCTGCATGCGGGACCATGTTTCAACACTGCAGTACGATGCATTGGCAAGGCTTTGATATCTGCTCCCTGCTCTGCTTGGCAGCCAGAGAAGCTAGGAGATATCTGCATCTCCCTCCGGTACGTGCCCACAGCCGGGAAACTCACTGTCTGCATCCTGGAGGCCAAGAACCTGAAGAAGATGGATGTTGGGGGTCTCTCAGGTGGGTGTCAGCTCATGGGCATCCTCCTCCTGCCCCTCCTGGGGCTCTCGACATCCTTTATTGGAGGAGGACACTGGGACCATCAGTCTGGCAGGGCTTGGGGAAGTCCCCTCCAGGGCCTGGGACCTCCTGCATCAGAGGCAGCCCAAGGTCTGGCTGGAAGGCGAGGGGAGATGGGGATGGGATGACCCCGACCCTTAGGAAGGACATAGTGAATTTGGTCCGCCGCTGTGCCGAGGTCCAGGATGCTGCAGGACCTGGGTGGTGAAAATGCTCCTCTGCCATTTGCTCCTGGTCCTGCTCCTCCTTGACTTGGAGCTGAGGACCTCAGTCAATGGCATGTTTCATGCTAGAAGCGTCTTCCAGGGCTGAGCTCTCTGCCCAGGAATCCTCAGCTCTCTCCAGACCTGCCTTAACCAGGAGAAGAGCAGTACCTGCATGGCTGGAAGGGTTCGGCTTTATTGCTGGGGTGTCCAGCTCCAGAAATGGGCGTGACAGGCCAGCACCTGCAGGTGTCACTGCACTGTCCCCAGCTCTCCTACAAGGAGACCCACAGGATGCAGAAGAGCTCGACCCCTCGGCCAGTTGCTCCCACGAATCCTCTCCAGCCTTTTGGCTTTGGCCTCCATCCACAAACCTCAGAGCACCTTTACTTGTGGAGACCTCATCAGCCCACCTGCACCTCATCTTGGGCTGAGACTTCTCCTGGGCATCTCAGCCCTAGCTGTTGCACTCTCCTGCCCCACCCAGATCCCTACGTGAAGATCCACCTGCTGCAGAACGGCAAGAGGTTGAAGAAGAAGAAGACCACAGTCAAGAAGAAGACCCTGAACCCCTACTTCAACGAGTCCTTCAGCTTTGAGATCCCCTTTGAGCAGATACAGGTTCGTCTGATGACTTTCCTGGGAGGCAGGCAGGGTGGGGGTGACGGGGGAAGTCCCACAGCTGCCCGAGCCCATGTCCCAGCCTTTCCACCAGCCTAAGTAGCTCCTGCTGAGCTTCTGATCTGGTCATCTATAAAATAGGTCCAGTCCTAGCCTGGGCCTGGGCTGATGCTGAGGGCAGGGACAGAGGTGGGAGGCTGGGTAGGGCCCATGGGAGATGCAGCCCCAACCCAGATCATGGCTAGAATGGGGCTTTCATCTGCTCCTGGCCCTACAGTGCTCACCCCAGGCGTAGCAAGGACCCCCACAGTGGTCCTAGGGGCATTTTGGACCATTGGTAGGTGCCTTCTACCCCTCCATGTCCTGCCCTAGCCTCTGCACGAGCCCCTTGCCCCAGCCCAGCCCCGTCAAGCTCTGTAGCCCATAGCTCTTGCCCAGCCCCACACCACCCCTTGGTGCCCTTTCCCAGGTGGCCATGTCAGGACAAGCTGGGCCCTCACCGTGGCTCTGCAGCCCTGGGCTCCTCGGGGAAGGAAGTGGAGGAAGCTATGGGCATAGAGGGGACTCTGCCCCAAAACAGGCCATTGCGGATCTCAGCTTTGGGGGATCCCTGGGGTGTGCTGCTGAGCCGCCTGGGGCTGTGGACAGCATGGAGGCTGTGGAGCAGTCACAGCCGCTGTGCCTTTCCACCCCCTCTAAAGAAGGTTTCCTCCTTTAGAAAGTGCAGGTGGTTATCACGGTGCTGGACTATGACAAGCTGGGGAAGAATGAAGCCATCGGCAAGATCTTCACGGGCTGCAACGCCACCGGCACGGAGCTGCGGCACTGGTCCGACATGCTGGCCAACCCCCGGCGGCCCATTGCCCAGTGGCACTCGCTGAAGCCAGAGGAAGAAGTAGATGCAGCTATCGGGAAAAACAAATAGGAAGATCTGCCGGCCAGCGCAGCACGGCACTGTGGACAGTCAAAACGACCCAGAGCTACTGATACCTCAGTTACGCAACCTTTGGTTTTGGTTTTTTTTTTGTTCTGTTTTAAGCTGAAATACCCTTTGATGGCTGTGGAAGAGTTCCCAGACAGTACCAATAGCTTCCAGGGGAAGAGGTTAAAAACATGGATGGTTCTTTTTGTTCTTCAGCATTGCTCCCTTCTGCTGCATGTCCTGTCGCATCCGCCCGCAATCCCTTCCAGGTGCAAAGCCACCGTCACGCCTGGGACCTTCCCCGGCGGCCATGTCACCAGCCCGCAGCACTGCTGCCGCCATCCTTCCCTCGGGCTCACGTGGGGAACCGTCGAACGTTGCGTGGAGGCGATACCAGAGCCTGATCGTGCGAGATGACCAAACCCACTGTGCTTGCTTGGGACATGGACAGCTGCGTGGACGTCAAACTGGTGGAGAAGACCCTCTGCAGGAGACCGAGGGGGGGGTCCTGCTCCTGCTCTGCCTCCCTCCGTCTGGGAAGGGCAGGAGCCGTGGTTTCAGGCTGAGGGCGGCCAGGTGCCCCCGGCCAGCTCCAGGTTTGGCTCCTTCTGGGCAGAGGTT